CTTTCGTTCAAACATTGCTGGCATCGTGAAGCTTGTAACAACATCTTCTTTGAGGGCTGGTCACTTTGAATAGTTGAAGAGGACCCCATTTTGGATTGTGATTGAGGCTATTCGAATTAACAAACTAAATCACAATGAATTTCGGAAGTTTGACGAGGCAATTTTGAAATTAATACGGATGTACGACGCACATTGTGACAAGGATTAACTTTCGTTCAAACATTGCTGGCATCATGAATCTTGTAACAACATCTTCTTTGAGGGCTAGTCACTTTGAATAGTTGAAGAGGACCCCATTTTGGATTGTGATTGAGGCTATTCGAATTAACAAACTAAATCACAATGAATTTTGGAAGTTTGACGAGGCAATTTTGAAAATAATACGGATGTACGACGCACATTGTGATGCATTCAACATTGGTGGAAACTTTGTGAAGCTATGTAGGAGTGATATTAGACTTTTGTTTGGAATTCAGTGTGGTACTAGGCATATTTATCTCTCCCCTTGTCAAAGGTCGACATTGGATTTTATTCAATGGAGGAGTCATAACACTGTAAGGATAACATCGAAGCTCATGCGTTCAAATGTGTGTGTTATGTTTGTATCCAATGTAATTAATATGTTTTTTTTGTGCAATTATAGATGGTGATGGTAGCAGAAATCCGTGGACGCGTTCATGTGAACGGAAGCGTGTTGAAGGTGCATGTGGTGCAAAACCGAATAGACTAGATGTTAACATACAGGGCCACATATTGTTCAAGAAATTGAAAGTGAACCACCAACAAGCTGCTGAACAAGTTAATAAGCCTGCTGTTAGGCCGTCACGCACTGCACCCACAAGGATTAACTTTCGTTCAAACATTGCTGGCATCATGAATCTTGTAACAACATCTTCTTTGAGGGCTAGTCACTTTGAATAGTTGAAGAGGACTCCATTTTGGATCGTGATTGAGGCTATTCGAATTAACAAACTAAATCACAATGAATTTCGGAAGTTTGACGAGGCGATTTTGAAAATAATACGGATGTACGGCGCACATTGTGATGCATTCAACATTGGTGGAAACTTTGTGAAGCTATGTAGGAGTGATATTAGACTTTTGTTTGGGATTTAGTGTGGTACTAGGCATATTGATCTCTCCCCTTGTCAAAAGGTCGACATTGGATTTTATTCAATGGAGGAGTCATAACACTGTAAGGATAACATCGAAGCTCATGAAGACATTGTTTGAAGAAGCCGTGGGTGGGCAAAGAAAGGTGGACGAGGAGGACGCAGTGAAGTTGACACTTTATATGTGTGGGAAGTTGTTCTTTACTAATTTTGGGGAGACGATAAGCTGGGCATTTGTGCGATACATTGATGATCTAAAGACCGTATGCGCATATGATTGGACTGGTGCAATACTACAAATGTTGATGGGTTCAATCAAAGATTTTCATCATACACCGAAGGAGGTCATTGGGTGTGTTGTCGCATTGCTGTTATGTATTTTTGGTTTGTTTTGCAAATGTATTAATTGTTTTACGCGTATATGTGTTGTTATGGTAATGGCCGATTGTAAATAATTTTGTACTTGGAACGCAGTATTGTATTTGTGAACATTCAACGCTGGTGAAACCCGAAACAGAGAATATGTTTCCAAGATTTCTGAGATGGGACATTAGTGCCTTAGTTAACAGGATGCGGTGTTTGGATTTCTTAGCACCTAACAAATTCTAGGTACATGACCTCTGTAGTGATGTGCAATGTTTGTTCACAATTGTTATTAGATGAGGGTGTTTGTATGTTCGTGATGTTTGTGTTGTGTTGTGTTTTTTTGATGGGAATGTATGAACTGACAGATCAAGGTTGGAGTATGAACGTGACATTTTGGCAACAGACGAGCATGAAATTGACCATTGTGATGCGGGAGTGACGGATGTGGTTGGTGTTTATGTCGATGGGATGGCACGTGTGGCGCATGCGGCTGGGGATGACATGGAAGTGAAATCAAATGATGTGCACAACACAGTGCGTAATGTAGGGAGTGATGTGGCAGGTTTCACCGAATTGGAGAAAGCATTGAAGTCGATGGCAGACATGGAAGTACGGAACAAAACAAATGAGGGGACAATAGCAAAGCTAGAGGATGAAGTAGTTAGTTTGAAGAGTAAAATGGAAATGCAAGCCATGAACATTGTCGCTGGGTTCGAGTGTGTCATGAAGCTTAAGGATGACGAGATACAAAAACTTGAAAATGAGAACAAGGAATTACGCCAAACAATTTCAATAATGAAGGACCAGCTGGCTGACTAGCAAGTGCACATTGTTACGCAAGTGTACTGGAAAAACGACTTTGGGAACATTGGTGCAAGCCATTGCCAAGGTGGAAGTGGGTTCGATGTGAAGGTGGTGCACGATGTAACACCTATTCGAGTTGGTGTAAATTCGGGTGTTAGTGGTCAAAATGTAACTGTGCACACAGTACCTGATTCTAGTCCGGCGCCACAACGAAGTGTGGGTGATGTTAGTCTGTCGAACATTGACGTGCAAGTGTTTCTGCATGTAGGAGAAGGTGTGAGAAATTCGTTTGTGCGTAATACTAAGAACAAAGTTAGAAAAGAATTACGGTTGAAAGATTATGACTACCAATTAGGTCGTGATCGCGAAAAGAAAATAGTCACACACTTGGACGAGGGTGGGGAAGTGGACAAGGGTAATATAAATGACATAGTTATAGATGTGGACACAGTTGGTGTGCTTGCCAATAAATGGTTTGGGTTCGAGTTGAACAACCGGTTTGGGGTATGGAAACTGGTGACGTTTGAAGAGAAAGAGAAAATAATAAAGGCTTACAAACGGAATAGCGACAGGTATGTGTGGGTATATGTGCAATTTCCGTCCCATAAGCGTAACATGTTTTCGTGAGATAATGTGATGATGTTTTTGTTTTATGTATAGGGCTGTCATGTGGGCTACTGTTGATAGCGGTGTGTCGGTGTATTTTACCGACGTTAAGAGTCTTGTACGTGGAGATAGTATCCGTAGCAATGTGAGTTGTGTTATTACTTTAGTGTCACATGTGCTGTTTTGTTTTCCATAGAATTCTAAATGTGTGTTGTACATAGTTGTTATGGTTGATTTCCGTGATTATTGTTTTTATGTCTCATTGCAGGTAATTGATGCGTATGCTGAGATATTGTTGACAGAGCAGGTGCATGTCTGTGCGGGTGATGCTTTAGCGAACAAATCGTACTTTTTCAGCAGTATTTGCATAGTGAGAAGTACTGTGTAATTGTTATATGGTAACCGGTGCATGGACATGTTCTAATAAAGAATGTTTGTTTTGTAGAATGTTATCAAAATTGGCAGCACACAAACCATGGAAAGTAATGTGCTGAAGAATTTTGCATCATCTAAGTACTGTCGATACATTCATTTTCCCATATGCAACCAAGCACACTAGACTCTCGTGGTGTACGATGCAGAGGATGGAAGTTGAAAACATTTTAATCCAATGAGGCAACGTTCGTCTGGCAGATCAGACGTGCATTACAATGAAACGCTTATCTTGGTAAAAAAACACATGTAATTGTTGTTTTAATAAGGTTATGGAAGTATTGTGAGTTTGAAGTAAATTTGGGTGGTTGTTTTGTGTGTAACAGAAGGAACGTGTCTCAATTGTAATGAAACGGTCGTTACAAGCGGATGGAATAGATGAGGTTAGCACCGTTAAGACCTTTGACCACCCCCTCGAGTCTGTTGAAGACTGCCCCCAGCAGAGAGCGGACTCGTAAGTAACCTGTTGTTGAAACCAGAATGTTCATTGTCTCTGAAAGTGTTTGTGCAATGTAATTGACCAATTGTTCTTTGGGTTTTCCCAACGCAGGCTAGATTGTGCGATGACGCGGCAGTACATGCACCATGTTGATATAGGGCATTCATTGCAAGATACCAAAGGCATTGTGTTGAGAGCAAATATGATTAAGGGATTTATGAACGACATGATCAAGGGTCTAAAACATTCGGTCGGAATGTTTATTTTTAAGCGCACAGTATTTTTTGTTAGTAAGTGGTATATGCATGGGTTTTATGTTTTTGTGGACATACATGAACAAACAGAATTTGGTAGTAAATACGATGTGGGCTTATATTAAATGTGTTGGTTTTTTTTTTGCGATTTGGCGCTTCTTGCTTAGGCACTGTGTTTATATAAGCTTGGTATTGAAAAATGGTAGTTGTGAATGAAATTTACTACTATTGGCTGATAATGTTGTACAACAATGGTTTTATGTGGTGCACAATAATATGGGTGGGTATGTTAAACAAGCACTAGTTTGTGTAGCAAACAATTATGTGGGTTGGTGTTGTTTGACGAAGGTGGTGGTTGTGTAAATGTTTATGTTGGGGTACGGGTGGACAATGTTGTGTGTTTTGTATGCTATTTCACGAATTGTGATGAATGTGCATTGAGTAAGTTTGACGGTGGTTTTGGTTGAGGTTGTAACTGTTGGCGTCTATAGTACACTTTGGTGAATGTGTGTCGTATTACAAGTGTAACTATGTTGTTAACATACTATGTTCTGAATATATGCATTGAATAGGACCACATTTGTGTGTAATGCCATTCATGTAACGAATTCAACGCCTACTCGCAGTTGCTAAAAATTGTGGAAGATTACAGTACATACCTATGTTTGTCGAATATTTAAAAAATGTAAAACAGCACAGCAGTAGAAATGTTTGGTAAACTGAATCAATTTGGGGTTGTGTGTCACCCAAATTATTTGGTCAACTTACATAATAAAAACCACGTAATAATGCAAATGATAATAGTACGGTATGTTTGGTGTTTTAGAACACACTTATTTACAGGAGAAAAAAAAATCGTAGTGACAAACTTTGGAACAAAAACATTAGCCATATTGTCAACACACGGGAAACCACATTTCCATCTACATGCAATGACGGCCAACGTTCGCAATGAATTTGCTGCTCTTCTTCCCCCCGTGACAAAATTCATTTTTTCTTTGGCCTCCCTGGTGGTCGTTTCATAATTGGTGGGTGTATGATGAAATCTTCAGTGTTGAACGGTGGTTTCTCAACAGTCAGTATTGGAGTTATGCTTGAAGCATATATGGAACGATATTTGGACATATGGTAATATGGTTCAACCAAGTCATTCAAATCTCGTCTGCTGTTACGGATTGCAACCATCGCGTGTGCATATGGAAACCGTTTAATCTGCCACTAAAAACACGAACACGTCCACCTGTCAACATCCGCAAGTACTGATGGGTATGAATGGACCTCATACACATCCTCATTGGATTGGCTTACAAGCCACGCCCTGCCTTTGTTGTAGCTTTTACCAACCTGGACTCCATTTGGGGCAAAAAACTCTAGGCCACGTGGCTACCTTACGTTGGCGTTTTGACATTTGATCCATAATTTTCATTCTAATGCTGTCAACCATCTGTGTGATTGGGAGGTGGAGTGCCTCACGAATCCATGAGTTGAATGACTCAGCAACGTTGGAACAAATCTCGCCATATCGGTCACCCCTAAAAACACAAAGATGAAATGTAAAAATAGTTCCATGTAATTATGAATGAAAAATGCATTAAGTCGGGCATCATATGAAATTAAGTTCGTTCACTATATTCGTGATTGGGTGCGTACCAGAAGTAGGCATTTGCCCAATACGACGGGGGTAAATCTTACAGAAAAGCCGTTGCAACTTGTCGGCCCGATATCTTAAACCTTTCTATGCTGGAATTGAATGTTGTTATGGTCGATGCGTAAGCGCATTCACGAAATCTACTTAGCAAGTCGACACGGTGCATCTTGTTGGTGTATCGTATCTTGTCTTGCAAGTTCCATTGCAAATGTTGCAAGCAAAACGCTTGGTGGGCATATGGAAATGTGGTTGGAATAGATTCGAGTACACCTGTGTGTCGGTCTGAAATGAATGTGATTGTCTTGTCCGTTTTGACCACATTCACAAGGTGTTCCAAAAACCAAGCCCAATTAGTTGTGTTCTCCGAATCGACAATTGCAATTGCCAATAGGAATAAGCCTGTGTGCAAAATCGATAGTGGGTTCAGTAAATGGGTAGGACACAAACATCATTAAGTTAACAAATGAAACAAATTATGCCATTTAACAGTGTGTGTGTTATGAATGAGAATAACCTTGATTGATATCCTTTGAAGTAGCATCTAGCAAGTTGCCTTTGAATTTCCCCTTCAAGAAGGTACCATCCAGGAATAGTAAAGGGCGACAATGATTGAAACCATCGATGCATGCTTTGAATGATATGAAATATCGTTTAAACCGGTGATTTTGGTCATTATAGTCAATGTTAATGTAACTGCCTGGATTGTTTTCCATAACAGAATTACTATACCACCGTAATTGATCGAATGAAATGGAATGTGCACCGAACATCTCGCCCCTTGCTTTCTTAACGTCCAACCATGCTACTCGGTAGCTTATCTCTAATCCATAATCTTTCTTCAAGTTATAAACAACATCAGACGGTCGTGTGAGCGGTTTGTCATGTACTAGTTCAGAGATAACATCGGACACTAAATCAGACCCAGCCCTCAGGTTTTTTGGTGTCCGAATGGCAACACTGCAACTGTGCTCTATATTCCACTTATGAATGTAAAAGAACTCATCAGCATGCAGAACTCGTGCGTGTATAGACCACATGTATCCTTTTGATTCCCTCATCATGCACACAGCTATAATCCGAACGGAGTCATTCTTCACATACTTGAATCGGAATCCACATTCAACCGCATACTTACGAAGAACATTACGAAATTTAGCAGCCCCATCCTCAAAACTTTGACCCACATGTGTGATGCCATTAGCCCATGGAGCGGACATGAAAACTTTGTCAACACGAGGACAAAATTTGGGGAGTAAATCATTTTGTTCATCATCATCGTCCGACTCATATCCTTCCCCCAGCGAACTGAATATAACATTACGTGGTTTCCGATTTGGGTTGCCAATACTGTTTGAACTTTGGGTGACTAGAGTTTCAATGACGATGTCAATATGTCTTAAACGGAAAGACCGTGCAAGGGATACCATATTTTCCATATCGACATCATTTTGTAATTTGAAACAGCTGTATCCCGGAATCTTGAAAAAGAAACATACATCAGCATGTGTAAGACCATCAAAATTTTGACAAACACAATTAACCAAATCATCAAATCGAAATGAAAATTGGAACTTGATGGTGGCGTTCATATCGCGGTAACAACACACCAACATAACATGAGCGTCCATCCCTACAATATGCAAACAATGTAACACATAGTTTTAGATTACAACAAAGGCAATGCAACACACTGTAACATACAAATATGTGTTAACAACCCCTTCCAACCCTGTGCCCTACACAAAACCCATCTATGTGTATCACACACACAAAATACTCGCCATTGTGTACGAAACATATTGACGGTAAAAATTGTATAAAGTTACACAGTAACACAAAACTAGAGCAACCAAAATAGCAATGAATGAGACCAATGTGTCATCTCGACAACGAGGTATACGACCAAAAACTGTTAGCATATTGAATACGAATGTGCCCAACCCCATACGAAACGATTACAATATGAACATTATATGGCACACCATGTGTAGACGTCCCCGAACGCCCCGGGAGGAACGAGCTCCCGTTCTGTTCATTTTGGGGTCACTACAGCTCAGGACTCTCAAATTTTCACCGTCTATCCACAAACACACAAGTCACCACAGCCCACCGTTACATCAGCCAGAAAACCCTAACATAATGAAGGAAACATATTGTACTTCCATATCCACAACCAAACCCACAAAAAACAAGCCACGAGAAAACAAAAAGGGTATAAATGACCAATACATATTACCAAACAAGGGAAATAGGATCAACAGGAATATTCTCCCACTGATAGGACCAATCAGAACAACAGACACATCGTTGGGACCAAATGGTGCAACTGTTTGTGGAATGTGATTTATTGGTAAATATCCCTTTTTAAAAATCAAATTAAATAGTTTTTTAATAGAAAAAAGTAGTGAAATAGTTTTAATAATGCATGATTTTCTTATATGTATTTATTATTGGTATTTGACAATTTACTTGATAATATTTTGGTTATGTTGAGTTGGATTATTATCTAAAAAAAGAATTGTTGACAAATTGTTGTATAATGTTCAAAATTTTTAAACGTTTAAATTGTCAAACCGATTTACATTCATCCGTCAATTCAGCGGACGGATGCGGATTAATTTTCTTTCAATCAATCCGCCCATCCGACAAATGAAAAACAAATTAGAGATTTCTTGACCATAATCGAACCGCAAACATATTGAATACGAATGTGCCCAACCCCATACGAAACGATTACAATATGAACATTATATGGCACACCATGCAATTAAAATAGATACATAACACACTCGAAAACAGCCGAAACACACTATATCTCCAGCAGACTAGAACTACTACTGGCAGAATTACGAAACATATTGACAGTAAAAATCGTATAAAGTTACACAGTAACACAAAACTAGAATAACCAAAACAGCAATGAATGACACCAATGTGTCATCTCGACAACGAGTTATATGACCGAAAATCGTTAACATATTGAATACAAATGTGCCCAACCCCATACGAAACGATTACAATATGAACATTATATGGCACACCATGCAATTAAAATAGATAGACGACACACACAAAGACACCCGAAACAAACAATACCTCCAGCACACCAGAACTACTGCCTGCGAAATTACGAATCACCGTCTATCCACAAACACACAAGTCACCACAGCCCACCGTTACATCAGCCAGAAAACCCTAACATAATGAAGGAAACATATTGTACTTCCATATCCACAACCAAACCCACAAAAAAAAAGCCACGAGAAAACAAAAAGGGTATAAATGACCAATACATATTACCAAACAAGGGAAATAGGATCAACAGGAATATTCTCCCAATGATAGGACCAATCAGAACAACAGACACATCGTTGGGACCAAATGGTGCACTTGTTTGTGGAATGTGATTTATTGGTAAATATCCCTTTTTAAAAATCAAATTAAATAGTTTTTTAATAGAAAAAAGTAGTGAAATAGTTTTAATAATGCATGATTTTCTTATATGTATTTATTATTGGTATTTGACAATTTACTTGATAATATTTTGGTTATGTTGAGTTGGATTATTATCCAAAAAAAAAAAATTTGTTGACAAATTGTTGTATTATGTTCTAAATTTGTAAACGTTTAAATTGTCAAACCGATTTACATTCATCCATCAATTCGCATCCGTCAATTCAACGGACAGATACAGATTAATTTTCTTTCAATCAATCCGCCCATCTGACAAATGAACAACAAATTAGAGATTTCTTGACCATAATCGAACCGCAAACTCCCCTAACATTACATAGCTCAATAACTAATATACATATAATTGCACATCATTCAATGCATAACAACCACTTTCATGTGACGTTAGTGTACGAGGCTCTGTTAAAGCTGGATCGGAACAAAATTATAAGAATTCGTAACACCTAAATCGAAACAGATCGGTAAAACTCGGAATTTTTTTTTTAATATTACAAAAGTAAAAAATCACATATACAAAATAATATTATATAAATAAAAAAAAAGAAAATTATTTATAAATCCTATTAGGGGGACTTATGCTACTTATGATCCTACTAAAAAACTTATGTTCCCATAAGTCCTGTGTGAAGTTTGTTGACACATTTACTCTCAATATTAGTTGTTAGTATAATAAATAATGGTAAAACCATATATAGGAAATTGAATGTTACCATAAATTAAGTTTGCAAAACATAACGTAACGTGACTATATCAGATGGGACATTACATAAACGTAACGTGACGTGACACCTACATAAATGTAACGTAACGTGATACCTACATAAACGTAACGTAACGTGACACCTACATAAACGTAACGTTACGTTTCGTTTCGCAAACTTACTTGGTTTTTGATTTTTTTAATTGAATGTGAAAATGTTACTTTCTATGGTAACATTCAATTTCCTATATATAATTTTTCCATTATAGTATATAATAGTATATTAATATCATTTATTTACAACTTATAGGATCTTGTGGAATATATTTCTATCTAAATAAAACTTGAGACTCTATAAGAAATTACACAAGACTTAACATAGCATAAGTGTTTGAAATAGGACTTATAAATAAGTCTCTCATAAAAAAATTCATAAATAAAATTTATATATAATAATGTGATTTATTGTGGGCTTTTTATTTTAAAACAAAATACGATTAAAAATGAATTTACTTACAATGGTCCTGCTTGGCAAGTTATTTTTTTAGTTTTTTGGCCAAAATAGTCAATAAAGACAAAATCGGTTAAATTAGCGAATAAGATAAAATGTTACATCTAATCCATAATCATTTCACTTTTAGTGAAACAATTATCTTTCCAAACACAACTATTCTAGCAAAATTAAAATATTCAAAAAACTAAATAGCCAATTAAAATAGTCAATTTCTCAAACAGGACCAATAATGGTAATGTCACATCATTCTTATTAAATTTATTTGTATAAGAAAAACACTTTGAAACTCTAATTATTGAGTTTTAAAACTAACTCTAATGAATTGACACTAGGCTCTACCTATTGTAATATGATGTTTTAGTCTTAATTTGTTTGTTTATTTTTTTTTCCCTTATCATATCATTAATACTCTATTAAAGTACTAAATTAGTATTTTGAATCATTGTTGATTTTATATGTGTAGAATTTTTCTAAAGGAATATAAGATTTGCACGGTTAACTATAAAATTAAGATTAGTACTGCACTTTCGCTCAAAAGCCGCATCCTATGTACATAAAATCCGTTAAGCTAGCACATTAGGCTCTGTTTGGAATTTAGCTATTTTAATTGGTTATTTAATTTTTTGATTATTTTAGTTTGGTTAAAAAAGTTATATTTGGGATAATAGTTGATTTTTTTCAGTTGATTTGATGGTTGTGAGAGAAAGAGTGAAATAATTATAAATTAGATGTGATATTTTGTTTTATTAACTATTTTAACCTATTTTGTATTTATTAACTATTTTAGCCAAAAATCATCTTCTCAAGCAAGGCTTTAGAGCATCTCTAATTATTTATCTTTTCTTTCATCAAATTTAAAATTGATTAAAAAAATTTTAAAAATCATTTATAGTTCTTTTATTAAATATTCATCAAATTAAGAAAGTCATTTTTTTAAATGATGAAATATTAGAAATGAATTTTTTTTTTTATTTTATCAAATTTGATGAAAATAAAATTTTGGAGTAAGATAGAAATTTTTAAAAGATTTTAAGAAAAATTGATGAAAAGTTTGAAGCACTTAATATTAAATCTAATTTTTTACTCAATTTTAGAATTAAAAAATAAATAAAATAATCCCTATTTCAAAATACTTAAAATTCGGACCCACAGAGTAATTAGAGTTGGGTATTTCTAGTTAGTTCAAATTATAAGCAATCTTATAAATAGGATTGCAAACGAATCGAGTCAAGCCGATCTTTACTGAGCTCGCGCTTGACTTGATAAGAAACTGGGTTCGAATTCGGCTCGACTCGATAATTTTTTTAAATATTATTTATATTATTTAATATATAAATAATGTATTTATATTATTATTTTTACATATTTATATATATTATTTAATATATAAATAATATATTTGTTATATAATTTAAATAAAGATAAACGAATCAAACTTGACGAGTAGAGTTTGATAAGTCGAGTTTTTGTGCGTTAGAGTTTGGCTTATTTATTAGACGAGCCTAATATTCGAGTTTGAGTTTGAGTTTGACTTATTTACTAAACGAATTGAACCGAATCGAACTCTTAATGAGCCGAATCGAGCTGAACTTATCTATAAATAGCTCGATTCATTTACAATATTAATTACAAATCAGAGAAAGCAATGGAAACAATTATCTTAAAACTAACAACAATGCAAACACACAAAACCCATAACCTTTGACAAACCAAAACAAATAATGTTTTCCAACAAACAAGAATTGATGATTAGGTTTTGACATTGACGGAAAGGGTTAAAATATTCTGAGGTAGCAGGGTCATGATGCGGAGGACGAGAAAAAACAACACAAGGGACAAAACAAAAAGGCTAAAGCTGAAACAGAATGTGACCGACGAGGACGATTGACACGCAATACATAGAACAAGTCTACGGACCAAATTGATGGTCTTCGAAGAATTTTTGGAAATGTGTAATTGAAATTAAATTTATATAGTATAAAATTTATGTATAAATTAGAGTAATTATTGGATAGTTTAGAAGTATGATCACATGTTATTTTATAGTATTATAATTAGTAAAGAATGTGAAGTATAATGATTTTATATTTAGTAATTGAAAAACATAAGGAGACATGATGAATGACGATTGGTGAAAGAGTATAAATACATGATATTCTAGAAGTATTTAATAATTTCTTGTAAAATAAATTTGAATCACAATATGATAATTTTAAATAATTAAATCTAAATTTATAATATTATTACAATATATATATATAGACGATATCATCATGGTCACGTTTCTCTGCAAGACACATGTGTTGCTATCTTTCCAAATTTCTTAATGCTATGTTTAGTTTGGAGATTTGGAGAGGAATTTGGAAAGAAAAAGAGAAAAGGTGTGTGAAACTAGGTGAAATATAGGTATGTTTTATTTATATTTCACCTAACTTTTCCATTTTGCTTTCCAAATTCTTATTCAAATCCACCAACCAAACACAACATAAAGGTATTTGAAATTCTTATTAAAAATATTTATGTCTAAATATTATTAGATTGAAAAGAGTTTTGAATTATGTGTTTGGTTATGAGTTTTGAAAAGTAATGATTATGTTTTGAATTGAGTTTTGAGAAATGAGTGTAGAATTATGATTTGAAAACCCTAAATAAACACCACACTCAAAAGTGAGTGTGGAACTAGATTTTGAAAACTCCACCAAACGGAGCCTAAGATTTACACCGTTCACTCTAAAATTTAGATTAGTGCTGCGGTTTCAGTAAAAGCCGGAACCCCTCAATTAATATATGTACATAAATAAACAAATTAAAATGTTAGCATTTCTAATCCTTCCTCTTATTATTTGTCAAATTTAAATTTGATAAAAAGATACTTAAAAATCATTTTCATTCCTTTCATCATATGTTTATAAAATCAAGAGAGATTTATTTTTTTCATCAAATTGAGAACTTCTCAAATCATTTATCAAATTTGAATTTGATAAAAATTTAAAAAGATAAAACATTAGAATTGATTTGTTTTTTTTTTTTTTAATATCAAATTTGATGAAAGAAAATTTTGGAATAAGTGGAGAATTTTAAAAAAAAAATGAAAAATTCGAATAGTTCCTGTCAAATCAAACTTTTTACTTAAATTTATCAAAATACAAATTAAAAAATACACTCCAAAATACTTAATATTAGGACCCACAAAGTAATTAGATCTCAATTGGTAACATAGTTGGGATTAATTTAAATTAAAAAGTTAATAAGACAAAATATCACATCTAAATCATTATCATTTTACCTTTTTTTCTCACAAAAATATAAAAAAAATTAAAAGTTCATCCCAAATTGAACATTTTTAATCAAATTAAAACAATCATAAATATTAAAAAATCAAGTCAAAAAAGTTCTTTCCATGCGAAAGCTTAGTGTTGTGTACTTCTTGTTAGTTCAAATTAGCAATCTTACAAATCAGAGAATGCAATGGAAACAATTATCTTAATTCTAACACAACAAGTAGACACACTTACAAAAACCAAAAACAAATGGGAAAATCACTATTCAGTGAAGATTGGAAAGAAGAAAAAAAATAAAGAAGTTAAACTTCTCCGGTGCGTGATTAGAGTGTGCTGTTGAGTTTATGGAGGCTTATCATGGGTTTTGTTTCGATAATTCGAACTGTTCAATGTATAGAACTTGTCAAGTAATTTATCCTTACAAACAATTACGTTGATCAGATATTGATAGCTACTTGATCGGATTAGATTTCTGTCAATGGTAAATATAATTTAAAATAAATTGTTGACAAATATCTGATCCGATCAAGTAGCTATTGATATCCGATTAACGTGATTTTTTACAAGGATAAAGTACTCGATAAGTTTTACACATTAAATAGTTCAAATTATCAAATCAGGATTCGTGATGAACCTTACGAACCTAACAACACTTTTGAATCCACAGTGAACTGGAGACAAGTTGCTTCCCCAACCCCCCCCCCCAAAAAAAAAAAAAAACACAAATATAGAGAGGTGTAACTTGTAAAACCCAAGTTATATGTAGAATTATTTTGGATAAAGTAGTTAAATTAATTTGTATGGGTAATTTAGTAATTTTAAGAAAACTAGGTTAATAACCTATATGTAAAAGAAGAAAAAAAAAGAAAAAAAAAAAGAAAAAAACAAACCTCGTGAAAACGCTGCAGAGGGTTTGGAGCTGCAGCTCAGGGTTTGAAAAAAAAAAAAAAAAAAAAGAAAGGGAGGATTCATAAGAGTGGTGGTTTTGCTTTATTCATCACTTAGGTAAGATTTATTTTATTATATTCTTATCTATGAATTTAGTGTCAATATATCATTAGATGATTTTTTGGACATATATGATTATATAAAAATATTGATATAGTCTATGTTGAGGGTTTCGGTTTGCCTGACTTTAGAGTGTATTTTTGCGTTCCATTTGGGTGGTTCATATTTTGGGATTGATATGTGACGAGTTAAGGTTAATGGTGGTGTAATTTTGGGATGCAAGTTTGGCGGCTAGTAATTAAAAATTTATATATGTTTATAAACAACAAAAGAATAATGTAAGTTTTGAAAAATTGTTCAAGTCGTAGTGGCTTTGTTTCGGTGCTAAGGTTTGGGAATTACTGATAGACTATAGGATTAGCTTTTTCTATCATGAAGAAAAGAATGATGGATGCATTATGGTGATCAATAATAATTGTTTATGTGGTATAATATTTTATTAGGTTTGTGAGATTGAGGTGGATCTTGGTAATTTAAGATTAGCTTGGGAAATATTATTTTTTTAAGCGTTTGAGGTAAGTAACCCTCTATCACTGTTGGTTCATTTTTATTCCTATTGAATCGTTCAAAATTATAAATATTTATTTATAACCTTCATGTTCTCTTAAAATAAAATATGGGTCAAGTATAAAACAACATCGAATACTATTATGAAAATTATTTGAATATTTTGGGAAACTAGTCTAAAAATTGTACCAAACGCTTATTCTGAAAATATCGAATATTTTATTTAAAAGTTGTGTATTGTTTGAATTTTGAACATCACTCTAGTCTGACTATGATTTGGACCCTAGCCAATGGGGGTTATTTATTGGCACAGAACTAGTTTCTTTTGGGGCTTTACCACCGGTCTATGTGTGGTTCTGGGCCTTGTCATGGGCTAAGTGACCGTAGTTATCAAGACTTGGATTTTGTGAATTGCATCATTGAATCATCTGACTATTGAACCATCGATTTAGACAATGAAATTTCTTTGAATTATCTCATTGTCTTTTCAATTAGAATGTATTGCTACATTGTTTATTTTCAACTATAAAATCATCTTACAAAATAATTGTTTATTTATTGAATTGCAGCAAAAATATATTTATTGGTTATTGACTATGTTTTTTTGTATACTTGATCTAGCTAACAGTGATGGTTGGTTATTTACTAGGCTGTCTAGCTTACCCTTATTTGAATTTTTTTTTTCTTCAGATTCTAAGGAGTAGAGCTGCGCGGGGTTTTTATTTGTGGGAGTAACGAGAGTAGAACTATGATTTAAGTACTTTGATTATTATTTTGTTAGTGGATTAAATTAGTGGACTTGGTGGACAATTTCATATAAGAATTATTTATTTTTATGGATTTTGGCATTATGATAATTAAAGATTTAATTTGAGTATTTTACATTATTGATTTATGTGATTGGACTCTTAGCCTTGTATACTCACTTAAATGAGTGTGCGGCGTTGTCACGGAGCTTGGGGTGTGACAATTTTGTGGTATCAGAGCCAGGTTGTAATTTTAAAGGCTGGTATAGAATAATGGTGAGATTGGATAGATGTAGGGTTGGGAACCCTTATAATTTGGTATAATGTTAATTTTATTTACATGTCATAGGGACTTGAGAATAGAATAGGATGAGGTTTTATTATTGATGCATATAGGTTGCAATGGAACATGATGAGACATTGGCAAATATGGCTAGGAATACACGCCAAGGTCAAACGAATCAACGGACTGGTAATAACAATCGACGAGGGAATGTGACTAATAATGGTAGTGGTTCTCAAGCAGTCAGAGGAAATCAGGGGCAAGAGTTGGGACAACATGTCACGACCCAAACTCGCCCCCATAGGTTTAGCGTCGTAATCGGCAAGTAACCCTTGGATTACCAAAGGCCTCTTGACATAAAGACATATAGCTAAGGGTTACGAAAGCAAAATACAAAATATATATAGTCCATTGAGTTGTGAAAACGTACATGGAACTGAAGACCTTAAAACTTTATATACAAATAAGTGACATCATAGATGCAGTGTTTACATGTCACTATCAGGCACATATAAAAAGGTGAACTTATTCATAGAGCAAAAGGACCAGTCTTATACATTCAAAGGACACAGCCACTAAGCATGACTTGATCTGGAACCTCCTCTTGAGGCACAAAGGTTAGCTGACAAAACTGAAACATAGGCCATCAACTCTGCGCCTGGTCACGTGCCTGCTCACCTACATATATAATATAAATAGTGAGCTAAAACCCAGTGAATAATAACAGAGTAAAGACTTTAATGAATGATGTCTCCTAACTACGACTGAAACTGAAACTCATATTCATATTCTTATTCTGAGTATATATAGAATTTAGAGTTCATGCTTAGTCTTACATAATACATCCATCAGCACTGATAGATCACACATAGAATATCTTAAATCATACTTGTCAGTTCTATATAAGAACCTCCGGCAGGGTAAGAATAACTTGTCAGTCCCATGAAGGGACATCCGGACTGGGAACTTGTAAACTTGTCAGTTCCACTAAAGAATCTCCAGCCGGGCATAGCTGGCTAGTCAGTCCCATAAGAGACCTCCGGACCGGGAACTTGCATATACTTGAATCATAGCATTATGTCATAATTTCTTGTTACACTTGGACAATCATTCATAGCATAAAACATAACATTTCATAAAACAGTTTTAAATCCGTGAGCAGAAAATAATTTACTCGAACATAACTTTACTAAGTTATTACTCACAGATAATTGGTAACCCCAACTTGACGGCAAGGTAAGCAATTCACTTATTCCGAGGCGTGTGACCTACATAACATGGTAGATTCATACGTTGAATGTACACACTCAGATTGTACATAACTTATTTCGCTTATGCTTAGTGTGTTTCTAGCATGTAACCTCATATGGAGTCTTAAGCATGGCCCAGGAGTGCCTAGGATGGAATGAGGATGTCCAAATGCACTTGAAAATATTTTTCAAAACTTGCTGAAAACAGGGGTCTCGCTCGAGCGTAGACTTTTTCGCTTGAGTGAGCTTACCGAATGTGAGTTATCGCTTGAGCGCACACTCCTTCGCTCGAGCGGTCGGCAAAATGTGAAAAGTTTTGGATGCATGAAATCTTCGCTTGACGGTCGCTCGATGCTCGCTTGAGCGTGAGACACAATCCTTCGCTCGAGCGTAACTCTTGTCGCTCTAGCGTGCTTCCAGATGCACACACACCTGAAAGCATGCAATTTATGCTCGAGCTAACCTTTTTGTCGCTCGAGCGGAAGTATGAAATAAAGTTGGTCGCTTGAGCATGGAATCCTTCACTCGAGCGAGGAAGCAGAATTCTGGATTTTCCAGATTTGCTTCCAATCTTCAAAACACGAATTCAACTCTTCAAAACACATCTCTTGGGCCCCAAAACTAGAGATAACATAGTAAACTTGTAAAACATGATGAATTGAGGATTATTTCACAAAATTATGGCCCAAGAGTTTGGCCTTTTTGCATAAAGTTATAACATAAATTTTATGGATGACTCATAAGTGTAAAATGCATGAACTCCCTTGAATTCAAGCACTTCAAAACTAAATCAAATTTGGCAAATTTCTAGAAAACATGATGAACTCTCAAAACATAGATGAGATAAACACATGCATGAAAGAATCCTTTGAAATCATGCCCAATTTGTGAAGAAATGCACATGCGTGTATGGTATGACCTAATTCATCTCAATTCTAATGCAATTCCTTCATGAATTCACTTAATTCACCATTAATCTTGTAGAATCCAACTCAATTATTCAATGAAGAGTTCAATTTCTTACCTAGGGGCTTGAATTCCCAAAAGGTGAAGTTAAAATTCTTAAATCTTCTTCAAATAGCAACAATTCCTAGCAATCCCTTGATTTGAGCCCAAATTCTCAAGTCTTGAACCAATTCTCCCTTCTCTCACTCGCTCTCACGTTTTTGGGTCTTGAGAGCTCAAGAATGCACATAGATGAAGAAAGGAGTGAGTGGGAGAATGTATCTGATCAATGAGGCCACTAAGGCCTTAATTAGGCCATTAAACAAAAGTGTGTTTAATTAAGGCTAATTAGTGGACATTAGTTTAATCTAATTTAATCGTTCCAAATCGAATTTCAATTAAGCCCACCATAAAATTCTAAAAATCCTAATTAACACGTAAATTAAGCCAATTTTTTATTCAGATGCCGATAAGGCCTTCAATTTGCAAACCGAAAGGAAAACACAAACAGATTTTCCTACGTTAAACAGATATAGACATACTTGTGCAATACACACATGCAATTTAATTCAAAATTTCGTCCTAATTACCAATTAAGCATAATTAACCATGGATTAACGTTAATCAGGGTTTGGGTTGTTACACAACAAGAACAAGCTGCAATCCCCAATCCAGTTGGAATGGTTCAAGTGCTTTAGACTTTGGCCGGGGTGGTGCAACAACAAACCATCAAAGGGAATAGCTTGACTAGACTTATGGAGTAACAACAATGAATGCAGCCAGGTGTTGGGCCAAAACCGAGACCACGTGGTAACATTACTGAGTTTAAGAAGATAGCCTTGGCATTTGACGGAGCCACAGACCCTTTGGAGGCTGAAAAATGGTTGACAGAAATGGAAAATTTTTTTCTCGTTTTTGAGTATACAGATGATCAGAAGGTGACCTATGCTACGTTTATGCTACAAGGGATAACTAATGATTGGTGGCAGATGGAGAAGCGCATACATGAGCATGATGTCAACCCCTATACATAGGAAAGGTTTAAGAATGCATTCAATGAGAAATACTTCCCTAGGAGTGTTCGTCTACAAAAACATAGGGAATTTTCAAAGTTGGAGCAAGGAAATAAGACGGTTGCAGAATATGAAGCCAAGTTTACGAAGTTGTCTAAATTTGCACCAGTATTTGAAGCAGACGAGGATAGCAGAGCACGAAAGCTCAAAGGTGGGCTAAGAACAAACATTATGCAACAGGTGGTTCCTTTCGAGTTACCTACTTTTAGAGCAGTGTTGAATAAGGCATTGTTGGTTGAGAAGGGCCTCACTAAAGTCCAAGAAGAGAAAGAAGAGAATTATAAGAAGAGACCTAGTTCTTCCAACTTTCAAACTAACAACAGTTTGAAGGGTAATGCTAAGAGACAAACCACTTCTTCGGTTGTGAGTTGGGGAAGTCGAACGGTGGGTGGTAGTGTTGACAAGCAGAATGATCGGGTACAGTGCACTAGATGTAATGGGTTCCATCGGGATAGTGAGTGTCGTTGGAATACTGGGGCTTGTTTCTCCTGTGGGCAACAAGGGCACATGATAGCTGATTGCCCTAATTAGAAGGGGCGTAAGACTGAACAGAAAACATGGACAAATAAAGGAGCATCAACAGACAAAGGGTCTTCAGGAAGTCAAAAGAAAAATGGAGGTCATAAGCCAAAGACTAACCTTTTTGTCGCTCGAGTGGAAGTATGAAATAAAGTTGGTCGCTCGAGCGAGGAAGCAGAATTCTGGGTTTTCCAGATTTGCTTCCAATCTTCGAAACACGAATTCAACTCTTCAAAACACATCTCTTGGGCCCCAAAATTAGAGATAACATAGTAAACTTGTAAAACATGATGAATTGACGATTATTTCACAAAATTATGGCCCAAGAGTTTGGCCTTTTTGCATAAAGTTATAACATAAATTTTATGGATGACTCATAAGTGTAAAATGCATTAAAAGTCTGAAGTATATTTTCACTCAAAAAGAATTGAATATAAGGCAAAGGCAATGGTTGGAGCTATTAAAAGACTATGATTTAACTATTAATTATCACCCGGGAAAAGCCAATGCAATGGCGGATGCCTTGAGTAGAAAGACCCTGAGTAATTTCGCTACCTTGATCGTTGACCAAAAGAATATATTGGAGGACTTGCAGAGGTTGAATATTAAGATTAGATGGCATAACCATGGAGTGCAGTTGGCAAACCTTAGAGTTTAACCCACATTGATTGATAGAATTAAAGCTGCTCATGGAAGAGACCCTCAGTTGCAAAAACTTGAGGATGAAATGAAAATAGGGTTACAGATGGAATTTTGTATGCATGAAGATGGAACCTTGAGATTTAGAGAGAGGTTATGTGTACCTAATGATTTAGAGCTCAAGAGAGAAATCCTAAGAGAAGCTCATACCTCGAGGTATACTGTACATCCACGGAGCACTAAAATGTATAAAGACTTGAAAAGAAACTTTTGGTGGAATAATATGAAGAGGGAAATTGCTCAGTATGTTGCTCAATACTTGGTATGTCAACAAGTGAAAGTTGAACATTAGAGACCTGCAGGTAAGTTACAACCTCTTCCTATTCCCGAGTGGAAGTGGGAACATATTACCGTGGATTTTGTGACAAGGTTGCCTAGAACCCAAGGTGGTAACAATGCTATTTGGGTTATCGTTGATCGATTGACAAAATCCGCTCACTTTCTAGCTTTTAAGGTGGGGTTCTCCTTAGAGGGGTTTGCAAAACTGTATATCAAGGAGATTGTGAAGTTGCATGGTATTCCGGTGACCATAGTGCCTGACAGAGACAACAGATTTGTATCTATGTTTTGGAGGAGGTTGCATACAGCTTTGGGTACTAGTTTGAATTTTAGCACGGCCTTTCACCTCAAACTAATGGACAGTCAAAGAGAACTATTCAGACTCTTGAAGACATGTTGAGGGCTTGTGTTATTGATCTTGGAGGTTCTTGGGATGAGCATTTGGCCTTAGTGGAATTCTTGGGATGAGCATTTGGCCTTAGTGGAATTCTCTTATAATAATAGTTATCATGCGAGCATTCAGATGGCACCATATGAGGCTTTATATAGACAGAAATGTAGATCACCTATTTGTTTGGATGATGTGGGCGAAAGTAAGTTGTTAGGGCCTAAGATTGGGCAACAAACAGTGGACAAGATCAATCTTATTAGAGAGCGACTTCGTACTGCACAGAGTAGACAGAAAAGTTATGTAGATAACAGGAGACGCGATTTGGTGTTTGGGGTTGGAGACCATGTGTTCTTTAAGGTGTCTCCTATGAAAGGAGTAATGAGGTTTGGTGTTCGTGGTAAACTGAGTCCTAGATTTGTTGGACCATTTGAGGTTTTAGATCGAATTGGAGAGGTAGCTTACAGACTTGCTCTGCCACCTTTCACTAGCTGGAGTTCATAATGTTTTTCATGTCTCAATGTTAAAGAAGTATATACCAAATCCTAGTCATGTGATTGATCATCCACCGTTGCAGTTTAAGGAGGATTTGACCTATGAGGAACGCGCTATACAAATTGTTGATCAGAAGGAACAGGTTTTGAGGCATCGAGTCATCCACTATGTTAAGGTTCAATAGAGCAATTGCTCAGAAAGAGAAGCAACTTGGGAGCTCGAGGATGAAATGAGATGAAAGTATCCACAACCTTTTGAGACTCCAGGTATGTCAAATTTCGAAGACGAAATTTCTTTTAAGGATGGAAGAATGTAAAACCCAAGTTATATGTAGAATTATTTTTGGATAAAGTAGTAGTTAAATTAATTTGTATGTGTAATTTAGTAATTTTATGAAATTAGGTTAATAACCCTTTATGTAAAAAAAGAAAAACAAAAGAAAAAAGAAAAAGAAAACAGAGCCTCATGTCGGTTTGCCCGACTTTAGAGTGTATTTTTTCATTCCTTTTAGGTGATTCATATTTTGGGATTGATATGTGATAAGTTAAGGTTAATGGTGGTGTAATTTTGGGATGCAAGTTTGGCTGGTAGTAATTAAAAACTTATATATGTTTATAAACAACAATAGAATAATGTAAGCTTTGAAAAATTGTTCAAGTTGTAGTAGCTCTGTTTCGGTGCTGAGGTTTGGGAATTACTGATAGACTATAAGATTAGCTTTTTCTATCATAAAGAAAAGAATGATGGATGCATTATGGTGATCAATAATAATTGTTTATGTGGTGTAATATTTTATTAGATTTGTGAGATTGAGGTGGATCTTGGTAATTTGACATTAGCTTGGGAAATATTATTTTTTTAAGCGTTTGAGGTAAGTAACCCTCTATCACTGTTGGTTTATTTTTATTCCTATTGAATCATTTAAAATTATAAATATTTATTTATAACCTTCACGTTTTTTTTAAAATAAAATATAAACCTTAAGAACCAAAAAGAAGATCTGGAGGAATTAAATAGTTTTGGGAGAAAACCAACTATTTATAGAAAATCCAAAATTAATCCTAGTTTTGGAAAAAAATCAACTTCTAAAAAAAATCCTTGTCAAACGGGATTGCCAATAAAAAAAACCTAACAGTAAGCTTTGAAAAATTGTTCAAGTTGTAGTGGCTCTGTTTCGGTGCTGAGGTTTGGGAATTACTGATAGACTATAAGATTAGCTTTTTCTATCATAAAGAAAAGAATGATGGATGCATTATGGTGATCAATAATAATTGTTTATGTGGTGTAATATTTTATTAGATTTGTGAGATTGAGGTGGATCTTGGTAATTTGAGATTAGCTTGGGAAATATTATTTTTTTAAGCGTTTGAGGTAAGTAACCCTCTACCACTGTTGGTTTATTTTTATTCCTATTGAATCATTTAAAATTATAAATATTTATTTATAACCTTCACGTTTTTTTTAAAATAAAATATGGGTCAAGTATAAAACAACATTTATTATGAAAATTATTTGAATATTTTGTTAAACTAGTCTGAAAATTGTACCAAAAGTTTATTCTAAAAATATCGAATATTTTATTTAAAAGTTGTGTATTGTTTAAATTTTGAACATAACTCTAGTTTGACTACGATTTGGACCCTAGTCAATGGGGGTTATTTATTGGTAGAAAACTAGTTTCTTTTGGGGCTTTACCACCGGCCTATGTGTGGTTATGGGCCTTGTCACGGGCTAAGGGACCGTAGTCACCAAGACTTGGGTTTTGTGAATCGCATCATTGAACCATCTGAATATTGAACCATCGATTTGGACAACTAAATTTCTTCAAATTATCTTATTTTCTTTTCAATTAGAATGTGTTGCTATATTGTTTATTTTCAACTATGAAACCATCTTACAAAACAATTGTTTATTTATTGAATTGTAGCAAAAATATATTTATTGGTTATCAACTATGTTTTTTTGTATACTTGATCCAGCTAGTAATGATGGTTTGTTATTTACTGGGCTGTCTACCTTATCCTTATTTGATTTTTTTTTTTTTTTTTTTTCCAGATTCTTAGGAGTAGAGCTGCGTAGGGTTTTTACTTATGGGAGTGCCAAGAGTAGGACTATGATTTAAGTACTTGGATTATTATTTTGTCAGTGGATTAAATTAGTGGACTTGGTGGACAATTTCATATAAGAATTATTTATTTTTATGGATTTTGGCATTATGATAATTAAAGATTTAATTTGAGTATTTTACATTATTGGTTTATGTGATTGGACTCTTAGCCTTGCATACTCACTTAAATGAGTGTACGGCGTTGTCACGGAGCTTGGGGTCTGACATAACTACCTCATAGTTTTTGACTTATACCCCTTAGAAAATAAATTGCATCCCATATTTTTATAATTTTTTTTTCTGCTTCAATAATTTTCCCAAATAAATTACAAAAACATTTTCCAAGAAACAAGAATTGATGATTGTGTTTTGAATTGGCAAAGAGAGTTACAATATTCAGGTAGTGGAGTTTTATCATGCAGTGGAAGAGGAAAAACATAAAGGGCCAAAAGGCAAAAGCTGATGAAACCATCATGGCTCACGTTTCTCTGCGAAAGACATGTGTTGCTGTCTTTCTAAGGTTCTGAAAGGTGTTTCCATTCTAGCAGGGAAATTTTTTTTGAATGAAACGGTTTAGAGTAAGGGACAATTACTTATCAGTGGGGGTGACAGCGTGGGTAAGAAAATTATATTATAAGTCGGTGGAATTTTTTTTTTTTTTTATAATTACAAGACAGATGAATGATATAATTTTAATTACAAATGCGAGGAAATTGTTCTTCACGCACCCTCTTGCTTCCTTCCTTTTGTCTTCTAAATTTTGCTCTCTCTCTCTTCCTTCTTTACCCGTTCTTTAGGGATGGTAATTTAAACTCGACTTGACAGGAACCCGATCTTTTGACCCCGATTAGAATGGATTTTTTCCAAAAAAATACTCCTGACGGATTGGAGATGGTATTCGAAAATGAATCCCCAACAATTTTTGGGGCAGGGATGGTGGTAGGTTCCTCTGCCTGGCCCCATTCCCGTCCTCGTTTCCTCCTTGAACTAAAATTACTATTATACCCCTACATATATATATATATATATATATATTATACCCCT